GCATTCCTCTTTTCTTTGAGGATGCTGGGGTTTGTTTCCCCCCCCCCCCCTCCCTCCACGCAAACACAACACCCACCCGGCGCACGCTCACTCCATCAGCCCTGCAGGTATATGGCACAGAAAAAAGGCAAGCACTGTTTTCTGGCTGCTCTGTGGTATACACTATATAGTTGTGTGTGTGGTTATTTGGGAGCATGTGCTGCAGCACAGCTAGAAACACACACACACACACACATTTTCATCAAGGGAAATTTGGTGCTATTAGTGAAAATCTGCAAGATGTAATTTGATGTAGTTTGTCATTTTTGTAATAGACAGTTCAACCTCTGTGCTGGCAGTGTCTGATAGAATTACTAAATGTAAGACTTGAAGCTGTTTATTGTCAAAATAAACACAAAAGAGAGAATTATTGGACGTGTTGAGTATTTCAAACAACTCCACGGCTTAGCCTTTAGTCCGCTTACTTAAGGCTAATGTTAACGTTAGCAATGATTAGGAGCTATGAGGCTGTGTTGTAGCACTTTACGCAATGGATATTTGAGCACCAATATACAGTATAGTACATACAAATATACTCAAAACGGTACTCGCAGTAATATACTGTATTATTTATCCTCTGTGAAGAATGACTAATTGACTCTCACATGAGTTCTTGACAGGACACACCCTGCAGCAGTGTGATGGAGTAGCTTCCGCAACCAGGCAGGAAAGGATTTTTTGGGAGTGAAAAAAGTGAAATTGTGGGAAAACGGACTTTTTTTAAGAATACATTGAAGTTGAAATAGTGAGAAAACAACCCCCTAAAATTTTTGACCCAAACTGGGTTATTTTTGACCCCACTGTTTTTAGCGCGTAGCTTAGTTGTGTATTAGCTGCCTTTTGTTGTTGTTTGTATCTTTTTTTTTTTTTTTTTGCCCGGTGGGGGTTTAAGAAAAAAAGGGACCGGCTTTCAACTGGACATACATGTGCAAGAACCTGAGCGAGCGAGTGGCGCGAGTGCCTCGGCGAACGCACGCTTGCTCTTGGGCTAAGCGAGTCTGACAACTGCCCTGGGCTTGACTGGCCTGTCGCTGCAGCCAACCTGACACTTGCCCCCCGCGAACGCACGCGCACACCACGCGGTGACATTGCAACACACAGTCTCATTCCCGAGCGCGATTCCCGATATGTTGCGCGGGTTTTTCCTCATCAGCACAATGCAGCATGTGGTGACAGAACGCACCATCAACAAGCGCGTGTTGTTTATAATCCTCAAGCTGGCGTGTGCAGATGCTTCTCCGTCTCTGAAAACATCATTACTGTTGCCACCGAGAGGGATTATAAAACGGCGGGGGTAATAATGCCGTATATTGAGATTTATAATTTGATGCTTTTCACTTTCAGTGGCCGAGGAGGGGCTCTGGGAGTGCGGACTTTCCTACGAGTGCAGGACCCTGCTGTTTAAGGCCGTGCACAACCTGCTGGAAAGGTAAATGAGAAAGTGAATGACCAAAACATGCAACATGTCTGGGAAGATGGTGTTATTTTTAATCATGCCAAAAAAAAGCCCCCAACAACCAATAATAATGGAAATGAGATGATCCCCGTATATCGCGTTGATACAGTCCAGACCAACCCACAGTTACTGAAAATCTGCGGTATCGAAATTCTACACATTGAGAATGAGAATTTAACAAGGTAGGTATAAAAACCAAAATGTTCAACCAAAGCTTTTGATTTTGTCCAACAAAAAGTCTGATAGCTTCATGCTAACTTCATGTGAAATGCCGTGTAGATACGAATTAGCATTGATGTTATGGTAATTGTAAACCTTCAAACAATTGGGACATTGGCATTTGTTTGAACTCAAAAACATTTTTGTTGACGTTGAAAATTGCTGGCTTGGTTACCCAACTCAGGAAAAAAAAGAAAGAAAGAAAAAAAAATATCCTTGAATAATTGAATCCGCGGGTGCCGAGCCACGAGGATGCCGGAGTCCACTGTACTGTCTCAGGCCCATGCTGATGTATTTATTTTATTTACTTTTCACACTAAAACCTACTTTTGAAGATATTTAATTTTTAATTGGACAATGACGACAACATTTGTCTCGTGAGTACCTTTTGAAATAATACAACCTAAATAAATCGCCATCAGTCTCGGAGGTCAACTTTGAAAGATATTTCAAGTGCGTCCCCAAACAAAAAGTGCTCAAAGAAATCATTAAAAAGTCACCGTTAGACAACTCCACTTGCCTTCTGGCATCCTCACCTCACTGAAATTAATAATCTGAGCACTGAATCATTTGCTCAAGTACCCAAAGCTCTCCTTTCTGAGCCACAGCCATCTGTTAAATGAAGCAGCACATATTTGCTCTCTATTAAGTGAAGCATCAGCGATCATCATAGGGGGGGCAGGCGGAATTAACCTTCCTATTACCTTGAAGCTAACTTCTTTTATTGCTAGCTGTTTCGGCGCGAAGCGGGATCGCCTTGTCCTCCGCCGCGAAATCAACTTTTGTCGCCGGGCGCCGATTTTCTTTTTGGCTCCGCTCGAATGAGCGTAAATTTGAGTCAAGTGGGTCTTAATCAAACAATCACAAGCGGAGCAATTAGGAACAATTTAATAACGTGCGCAAATCGCAACCGAGAGGCCATCAGGACCATTAGAAAAGGCGGAGTTGTAATTGTTTGACTAAATTAGCGAGCTAACGGCGTGAGGTTGTGTGAAGCGACGCATAGATAGAGCTGATTTCTTGCCGATATTCAAACACTGTACACACATACTGACAATCGGGCAAAATTTCAGCAAAGGCCCGATTGTCAGATGTTTCCGGAAAGATTATCCTGTGGTGCGGGCTGCTTTTGGAAAACAGTCAGGGCTGACAACTGTAAACAATAGGATGAGTACACACTTGCTGATAATCGGGATTTATTTCTACATTTTCTCCCCCTGACATCCTTGAGTCCCTCGAAAAGGTGCGATACAAAGCGAGTCATACCACCAAGGATGATTCTAATTATTCCAGTGACGTGAGTGTCTTCCATTCTGTCTGTTCTTCTCACCGCTGCAGATGTCTCATGGACAAAGGCTTTGTGCGAGTCGGCAAGTGGTTCTTCAAGCCGCACCAACTGCAGGAAAAGTCTCTGGGCAGCAGGTGAGTGGCATTCACTCAACAGCGTGTTTTACCAGCCCGCCATTGCAGAACACAGTCAAACGGCGTCTTGTCACAGCTCGCGGGAAGTTCCGTCATGTGCTTCGTCCTGTCCGCTCGTCCTCGGGGCAACAGCAACTTGCCCCTGCCAGTGTGAGGCTATTCCAAGGTAGAGGCGTTCATTTTGGCTGGAGTGGAATGCGCGGATGTGCGCGCGAGTGAGTGTGAGTGTTGCGGGGCTCTGGTGACAGTTGTCTTGGCCCGCCTCTCACAGTTTACCGCAATTGGGCAAGGTTTTGCTTCTCTCACCCTTGGCAAGCCCAAGTGAAAGCCTGCATGGATGTCAGATTTATGAGCAAAGCTAAAATAGGGAGGAGTGACAGTTGAGTTTCGTCTGTTTGTATGTTGTGATATATTGTTATTTTAACTCCGTAAAATCTTCAACTTACACAGAATGCACTTAACTAACAATCTGGAATGTATCCTGAGCAGGGGAATATTAGAAAAAAAAATATACATATATACATTTTTTTATAATTTTTTTTAATTAAAAAAAAATATATATATTTAAAAAAAAATATGTATGGCACATAGGCACATCACCACTAACACAATCGTGACATTTGCCTCAGTATGACCACAGTCAGTTTTATTGTGGACCCTCTGTGTCGTAGGTGTCCCAATAGTTTTGTCAAATTTTTTTTTTATTTCAAAAGTATCACTGGGCAGGTCTGAATATCCAATGTACTGAATGTATGATGGTTGAGAGCAGTGTACACTGTAAATCTCCGTGCGCGGCTACAGTATGTTGTCATGTGCCTCCCCCCCCCGCCCCCGAAACAAACAAACCCCCTCCCGTCCTCGCCTCACGCCGAGCCACTGCTGCCTCTTTGAATTATTGAGCATCCTACAAAGAGGGAGAAGGCGGAATATCACCGTCGCTTTCACTGTCCCAAATCAAACAGGGGCTTTGTGAGTGACACTGCTTGCGAACGCCGTTCTGCTTGCTCGCAGTTCTAATGCAGACGGTCCGAACGCACCCCGCATGTACAGCATTCCATCCTTTTTTTCCACAATAGCGTTGCAGCAGCCTGAGGAATCTCCCCCCCTCCCCTTGCGCACCCCCCCACCCCCCACACCTCCTCATGCCACGAGGGAGCATTGCTCAGTTGATGTCATGTGACCTCCCGCCTCAGCTTTAACCAGCTCCTTTGTCTCCTCTGCACCTCCACTTTGTCCGTGCCTTTTATCCCCAACAGAGGGCGTCTAAAACAGCGCGCGCCATCATCATCATCATCATCATCATCATCATCACCATCGCCCAACACCCCACCCCCCACCCCCCTTCCGCCTTTGTCAAGCTTCCCCGGTGTTTATCTCACGCGTGTCCCTGGGGCCATAGTGGCGGAGAAGAGTGGCGCATCCAGGAGAGGATTCCGAAACCTCCTCCCTCCACTCTCTTTGTGTCGGAATGAGGAGGAAGCGCTCTGGGTTGGGAGCGAATTGCATCAGACGCTGAAAGGAGGTGTGGGGTGGTGGTGGTGGTGTTGGTGGTGGGGGGGTTACTGGGAGGAAGAGGGATGAGAAAGAGTGGGGGCTGGAATGATGGTCATAAATTAATCATTACTACAGACGGCTGAATTGATGCATTACAGTCTGTCCTTCTCATTAGTTCAGTCAGTTGTATGCATGCCAACTACAATGCTAAATACATTTATAGGGGGCTCTCGTTTGAATCCACGACCATGTAAAGCACAGCATATCATATTCTGATTTTAAATCAGAAAAAAAAATCATGCTGTGACTGACCATGCTGAAGAAGTTGTATTATCTCCTTAACAATACTTCATAGTAAATACACGGCGCACAGATGCTCTGCTCTCCTCGGGTGACATTGAGCTATTAGCCGTCGTCTAGGCAACAGACACTCGGTGCCCGGCCATATCCCAAGGTCATATATGGAAGCAGAAGGGAAACATTTAATCTTATATGTATTTGTTGATATTTGACAAGCGTGTCCTTTTTTTGTACAAGTGGGAGTATTTATCAAGCGTGCAGTTTGATGAATTTTTGACATTTTTGGGGCAGTCGGTCTGTAGTCCAGAAGGAACTGGTCAGGTACGAAGGTATGTTTGTGTGCAGGTTAATTTACGCCTATTACATTGTCTATTTAAAAAAAAAAAAAAAAATTGTCGAAAAGTAGTGGCTTTGGAGATGAGAGGATTTCGCCTGACAATTATGATGTATCGTACGCTGACAAGTGTCATTAAGTCATAAAAGATGTCCAGACATTAGGACAATCCTTGCTAATGGTAAACAGCGAGCAATTAATTGGACTATAAATGCGGTTTCTCATGCAAATGCGCATCCATCCATCAGGAGAGATGTACGCGCGCTGACAGAATTTGCAATTAAAGTTGGCGTTGAGAGCCCATCGTTTGCGTCGCAGCCAATTTATTTGGAAGCGATCTCGTTAAATACGCCGCTTTATCGACGCAATACAAACATGTTGTACTACACGTGTACTGGGACCTTCCCCGGAGAGGTAGAACACAAACGACGGCATTTTCCGCAGATGTCTGCTATCATTCTTACATGAGCAGGTAAAACCCCAGTGAGAGGCTGAAATAAAACCGAGGATCAATGGAGGCGATGGCGACACATCAGAGTGACGTTAGATTTTCTCTTTAATTAGCATTTAGAAGAGAAAAGTATTTTTATTTTATTTTTCAGGGGGGAAAAAGTTTTTTGCTGTTTTTAACCACAGTGGCAACCCACTCTTGGCGCCAGTTTGTGTTGCCTGGCATCTTATAACAACTACTAGGAGCTGTAAGATTTTTTTTTAATTTTTTAATTCCCTTTGCTTTGACATGCCAGCGCAAACTTGAGATGGTGGAAGTGAACCCCAGTCAACTCAATTCACAATAAGCAACCAAAACGGATCCAACAAGTGGCTTCAAGCTATTTCACGCCACTCCCGCTTGAAGTGTACCGTCACGCGTACCCGCGAAGCGAAGCGAATGGCGCTTTGTGTATTTAAAACGAAACAGCTCTGCATTACGAAACGGCCGCTTACCTTAACGCGACGAACGGTGCAAAATGCCATCTCAACCGTTCGCATCGATCGTCGCGGTTTTCTAAGCAAGGGATATTTGAGAACAAAAACCACAGAGCCGAGAAATAATAATACTCGTCGGCATATATTCTTTATCTTCTTCGGAAAATGAATACAATTCAAATCATAGCAAATGTTCACCCAACCGTCAAATTATGAAATTGACATAATCTGCCGAATGGCCACGTATTTAGGAGAGACAACAAATGCTTCACGCTCCCATTTGATTCATACTCTCAGATGATTTACTATACGTAGTTTTGAGCTCGCCTCTCATCGTTTGCAATGAAGGAGCCAGCGGTTTTGACGATGACGCGGTGTGGTTTTACACCGCTGCCTCGACAGTAATCACCGTAATGTTCAATAACAGCATCTCAAAAAACAAAAACAAAAAAACTAAACACTGTTGCGTTTAGGGTGGAGATCCCTGCCTGCCGCTTGCTTGAATCCATTCAGCGTAAAAGGTTGCGAAAACTTCACTTTCACTGATATGTGTGCGGCAATTGCAGTAAAGTGTGTGCGCGTGTGTGTGTGTGTGTGTGTGTTGCTGAATTATTCACTCACAGCACTTTCTCTCAGGCTGGCTTTGCTCTCACTCTATATTTCAAACTGTATGTTTTTTTTTTTTGCCTACGCCTGCCTCGCAGCTTTATGCTTCATCCTGTGCATTTGCTTTTCAACAACCAGAGGTTGTTTTTTTCTTTCTCTCTCTCTCTCGCTGTAACTCTGTAACGATCACTCTTCATTTGAGTACCATCCGCACATCATGTTTACTACTATTTACCCCCCTCCCACACACACACACACACACACAGACACACACACACACACACACACACGCCGCGTCTCAGAGGAATGCGAGATGTGCTGTGTGTCCGCATACTCACGACCGCTTACGGTGCAGGAAAATGCCCTTTGCTAAAGGACGTGTACATATGTGTTGGTCACAGGTATGGCTCGAAATTATGGCTTGAAATTCACGTCGTGGTCAAAATGATGTTTCTTCACGGTGACGGTGTCACTTGAAATATGAACACGTGTTGAAGTGAAAAGTATTGCTGGATGGGTTGAATCAGGGTTGGGCAATTAAAATTGCATGAGAAACTAGCCAACATGCTATTTCTTTTTTTAAGCATGAAACTCAGCTTTGACGTCACCAGACTGGTGCGTTCTTCATTTGAAATGCTTTTCCAGGCCTTTACCACAGTCTCTTTCAGTTCTCGTTTGTTTGTCTTCAGACTCCTCTTCAGAAGGTTCTATTGGGTTAAGGTCCAGTGACTGACTTGGCCAGTCGAAGACCTTACACACACACACACACACACACACACACACACACACACACACACACTGTAGCTAAATAGTTAACCTAGCGATTATGCATTTACAGTAAGCGGATTCACTGTTCCAATGGTGGACCGCAAAGAAAACAAGTTTGACACCGGTGATGTCGCTCATGTTGTGTTTAATTGCGCCTTTGTTATTGCTGTGCCAACAATGTGAGAGAGTCATCATGATCGCACATTACATTTTGGCCGCAGCGATTATTTTTACACCCAGCGATGACGGCATCATGCAAGATCCGTATCAAGAAGACAATCAAGCTTGACGGATGTTGTCATGAGTATTCATTTAATCGCGGGAGCTGTTTTTATGTCTGGACTTCGCTAATGGGTGTTCTCTAATAAAATGACATGTCACTTGAATGTATGCTGAAAACGGTACAAAATCATCATTTAGATTTTATTCACCAACGCAACTGTTTCATACACAGTATGCACTACTGTTCAAATGTTGGCGGTCACTTAGAAGTATCCTTACTCTTTAAAAAAAAAAAAGATATGTTGCACATCATGTTAGATGAATTAGTAATTCATGAAAGGCTGGCAAACATTGCTGTCTGTTTTTGTTTCTCTGCCCCAGAAATTCATATCCAATCTGGGCCTCCCTTCCCTCTGAGTGCACTCAGTGCCATCTGGAGGCCATTTTAGGACAGTATTTAACAACTCATCTTTCAGCTCGGCCCATTAAGAGCAGAACTGGCTTTTTTTATTTTTTTTATTTTATTGAATTTGATGACCCATTACTGCTCCAGTGGGGGTCCAATGCCTTGGGGCAAAGGAGATATTGCATGGGTAGCAGAGTAATCACAAGGAGATCACCCTACCTGCTGACTTTATTGTCATTTTGATGTATATAACCAAGGTTATAAGGAGCTTTATAGATTAAAAATATACATCACAGAAGCCTCGGTGGCGGTTAATGGCGCACAGGTCGCCCGCTGCTATGTAGATGGCAGTAAGACCTAAATTATTATCCGTCTGTGATTTTTTTAAATAAATAAGTATACATGATGGACGGTCCAAGGCCGTGTGATAAAGAGATAAACATGCAGTGTGGAATAATCGGTCGTTAAGCAAATGAGGATTCATACCTGCAATAAGATGGCCGTACGAGGACAATGATGGATGCGTGTGGGTAAACTGGACGGCCCACAAGCTCTTTTGCGCGCTGTCGCAATTTCTGTTTGAAGAGGTAAAATGCTCACGTTGTAGAATAGAACAGAGTCGTGGTATATATTGGCATTGTTTAGGGCTTGATTCCTTTAACAGGGAGCGAGCTGGTGAAATATTTCTCTTGTTAGTCAGACGTATTTTTTTTTATCTGAATGAAGAAACACATTTATTTCAGACTGTTAAAAGATAACATTACTTAAAGCAGGGGTGCCCGATATGTCGATCACGATCGACCGGGACTTCGTGGACTGGTCCCAAGTCGATCGCGAGGGGTGTAGAGGGGTTGGGGGAGGGGGGGCAACCCTTGTTTAGGGCTTGATTCCTTTAACAGGGAGCGAGCCGGTGAACTATTTCTCTGTTAGTCAGACATATTTTTTTTTTTATCAGGGGGGCAACCCAAAACATTTGTGTGTCTCTGTGCGTCTTATTAATATTATATATTTTTGTGTTAGTGCACACTACACCCTTAGCTTCCTTTCAGTCTCATTTTCACAAAAGGTATTTAAAAAATTAAATTACATTTAAAAAAGCAGGTCACCTTTAACCTACGGTAGCACGTGACCTTTATCACCGGAAGTTGTTAGCAGTCAGCAGTTAGCACTCTGCAATTACAGTTAGCGGTCAGAACTGTTGCGCTCTAGCTTTTATTGTTGTTATTATTCTCAATTAGAGTTTGTTTCGTGTACAATTCAATTCTGGGGGGGCGAGAGAGGCATTTTCAAACTGTATACGCGAGCTACGATCGTTAACACGTTGTAAAAGTGCGTTCCATGCCTCCGCGTCAGGTCTCGTGATGGCTGTTGTTCATTTTGGCGTGCGCGTGTTAGTGCGCGCGGATGCGGTAGAGGGTCCATGGCGGAAGGCTGGTTGATCGAAAAGTAGATTTTCGGTCAAAAATTCCCTGACCTAAAGGGAGAATTTCCATGGCAAAAACGACGAAAGCTGGTTGATCGAAAAGTACGAGCACGATTTGAACGTGGGCTCACGTCACGTGACCAAGGCTGTGCCCTTTACTTGAGAATCTCAAACATGCTCATTATGAAAGTTGCGTAGTTGGAATAAATTGTCTCGGGGAACAAATATGCAGCATCGCCAAAATAACAGCGCTAGCACCACCTGTCCTGCGAACTTTTTGACACACCTCCCATACTGTATGCTCGTGGCAAATGAGGGAATTTTATGACTTCACATCAAAATGTCGCCCACCTTCCCGCAACACTTCTGCCCTTCTTTGGCTGGTCTTGGCTCTCAAGGATGTAAACCTGTGTGATCTTCTGTCTCCTCCAGTGAGCACCTCTCGTGTTCCTTCTCCTTCTTCCTGCACGGGGAGAGCAACGTGTGCACCAGTGTGGAGATCGCCCAGCACCAGCCTGCGTACCACATCACAGAACAGCACATTCACCTCGCACACACCTCCGTCACGCCAATACAAGGTAAGGAACAGGATAACTACGTGGGAAAACATATATTGAACACTAATTGTCACCATAAGTTCGGGGTGAAATTTCAGATCAGATCGAATTGGCCTTATAAACGTCTTTCAGGTATTAAATTTGGCTCACCTAAACCTGATAATGTGTCTTTTATGTATTCATCTTGTATTAGATTGTATCAAATCACCACGAATTGTCAGATTTTAAGTCATTGCAGCCAATGTCTGCTAAGACAGACAAATCATTTCATCAATGACGAGTACGCAACACAATTGACTGTCACTTCATTGGTCAAACCCCAAATATGTCATCTGCCGTGTTTTGCAGTGATCCTAAGCCCATACGGTCTGAGCGGTACTCTGACGGGTCAAGCATACAAAATGAGTGACCCGGCAGCACGCAAGCTGATGGAGGAGTGGAGCTACTTCTACCCCATGGTACTGCGACGGAAGGCGGGAAGCAACGAGGAAAACCACGAGCCGGCCGATGATCGCAACGCTCACGTGGCAGTGGAGGTGGTCGTCGGTATGCCGCAACTCCTCTCATGTCGCTTCAAAATTCACCGCCGCACATGTATACTGGAATCCCCTGAAGTCGTTTTGGACCACGGTGCCTTTGTTCTGCCTAAGCAAACACCGGCGAGCAGCATCCCATAAATTAGCCGCCGCTTCTCTTCCTTCTCTCTCACTTTCCTTTTATTTGCCGATGCTCTTGAGAAGCACCTTCACAGCCTTTTAGCCTGCTGGGAAAAAAAAGAGCAAATGATGTGGAAGGAAAAGAGGATGAATGAGATGACAGGAAGTTCAAATTGGGACGATGAAGTCCAAGCTCCTGGGAGTTTGGTCTCATCTGTATGATCTCTCAGGATTGGCATCATGACAATCAAAAAAATGCATTGCAGCCATTTCTAAATGTGAAGTCTTTCCATTCCATTTGAGCAATAATTTATAAAATTGTTCTTTTCTGACACTCATGACAACATGCCACATACAAAGTCAAAAGCCAACCCTACCCAAGATGGCCATTTTGTGTTTTTTTCTGCTGTGCATATTACATTCGATACACTTCCAGTCAAAGGCTAATTAGAAGATACGCAAACTGCAGTTTAATATGGCAAGTGGGTCTACTGCAATATGGAGTATTCATAATTATAAGAATTATAATAATGGTAATCAAAAATGATATGGAGTATTCATAATTATAAGAATTATAATAATAGCAATAATTGTAATCAAAAATAGACACTTTTACATTGGTTGAACTTGTAAACAATTAACATGCTTTCGTCAATTTTAACTGGAACAGAAACAACCTACGTTAAAAATCCAAACGGGGTCAAAAGGGGATGCTATTTGTTCAAAGCGGGAGAAATGTGAGCTGGTGAAATCATAAAAGTGCTGGTCAAGATGTTGTCGACATCCATTGATTTTTAGTAGGTACTAAAACCGGGAGTGAACAAGGCCCATATGTCCCGGCGAGAGGCAAAAGATGTGAAGCCGCAGCCTCATTATGTCCTTTCCGCTCTCTTTAGGTGGCGTAAGGATGACCTACCCAGCTGCTTTTGTGCTGATTGCCCAGGGCCAGCTGCCGCTGGAGCCACCTCCACCTGCACCTGCAGCTCAGGGCCTCGCCAGAGAGCAGAATCACTGCAGCGTGCCGCTCACGCCGCCAACATCGCCGGAGCAGCCCTGCTCGGGTAAATGACACCACACAAATGCCATTCCTCCATGTACGCCGCCAGCTGTGTTGTGTTCCCAAGAGAGCGCCTATCCTTCCATCCGACGTCTTGATCAAAACGGGCGCCTCACCCGCGATCGAGACAGCACTTGGTTGAGATCTTCAGTTTCTAGGGCGGAAAAAAAAAAAACAGGGAGCAAAATTGGCATAAAGGTACATGACCCAGGGAGCATTAACGTCAACAGCAACAAGATTGGAAGAAACATGTCCTTATTTTAAGAGAATCCTTTGATGTTGTTGGCTGAATGCGCTGTGGTTGGTGCCAGCCTCCAAACCACAAGCTTCGAGCGTTCAAACATTCTCTGAAATCTGGAAGACAAAAAAAATAAAAAATACCCACATGAAAGGAAGGTATATTTGTTCAGTTTATATTAGCAAAGGGAGCACACTGTTTGGCGAGCATAAAAATCAAGGCAATGCTAGCTTGTAAACAACTTGCGACATCTGATTTTTTTTTTTCTTTTCAGGATGAGTATTAAGGTAATGAAAGAGGAAATGGTGTGCACAACCGACAGTAAAAAAAAAAGTTTTCTTTTCTACTTTTGTATATTTTAGAGTCTGGAGTTTAATCAGTACTTCCAATTTTCTGTAGGATGAGTACTTTCGGGACTTTAGTAAGACACTGTATGATAAAGTGACGATATGCTTCTTATCTTTCCAGCGGACAGTGGATTCGTGACCTCGGCCTCGAGTGTCCCAACCCCAGACAGCGGTCTCGGGGTCACCAGCCTGAGCCCAAAGCATTCTGGGAAAAAGCTGACTTGTCAGGTGGTCCATCAGGCCTGGAGGGAATGCTACCTCAGCCAGTCTCAGCACATGTAAGTGACGTCAGCCCACTGTGGAGGATGGACCCGAATGGGTAAATTTGTTTGTTCTTGGCAGACTAAAGCAGCCGTCCGACGTGACGCCAAAGAAGGAAGTGCCAAATGGAGTCACCACGTGGGATTTCAATGACGTCGGGGCGCGAGCGCCGTGCAGCTGCTCGAGGTACCGGCGAGCCGCTCTCAAGCTGTTCATCGACGGCGTTGCGATAACTTAGTTTTCCTAAAAACATCATGCGATTGTCTCGTTTCTATTTCAGGCTGAAGCAGCAGAAGTTGACAACCGCCACGAACATCTCCAACCCTCAGAACGGTGCCAATCCGTCCTCTGGCTCATCGTTATACGCGTCTTCCATACCCAAACACAAGACCAGCGACAAGACGGAAAAGGCTGACAAACAATCCAAGAGACCGGCCATGATCCCCTTTCACCACCGTGTATGCGCCACCCAGGAGACCCCCCTGGAGCAGGACTCACCTGGGGGGCCCCAGCTCAGTGGTCTGGTAGCACTCGAGCCACCGATGGAGCCTCTGGCCACTCTGGCAAGCTGCAAGTATCCCAAACAGCTCTCCAACGGAAGGAAAGCTCCGGAGTCACTTCTCTTGTCGCCAATGTCTCCGCTCCCTCCCACGCTTAGCCCGCACCCCCGGGTGCAGGACCCAGAGGTACTGGAAGGGCCGCTGGACATACACGTATGTCAGGAGGCTGCGGCTGGCATGGGCGTGATGACCAGCGAGACGGCAGTGTACACGGCCTTGCTGAAGCAGAAGGAGAACGGGGCCGGCTGGTGGAGAGGCTTCCGGACTCCCAGGACTGATAAGATGGATTTCAGACCTCCAGAGGTCTCGGCTGATAAAGTAGAAGAGGGGAAAACGGAGGCAGTCCCCGAGGGAGCCTCGCTAAAGAGGTAGGAGCGATATCGTGCTCTTGGTGTGCGATAGCAGGAGGCGATAACCAGATACTGATACAGATAACAGGAGGTCACAACAGAAATGGAGTTGTCAACTTTTGCGTACATTTTTTGTTGACATGTGTCAACTGAGACACATTTGGAGGAGGCGCAAGAATAGCTATCAATTTATAAGAGGTGATAAAGAAATGTTTGGAATCGCTTCACGAGAGCAGGGATACCCAAATGGAGGTGAGTGCCTTGCAGGCGGTGCGCTTGGATTAAAAGTAGTTTTGGTCTGATATATTAAGCAAGCACAACTCTAAAATACATAAACTCCAAGTAGTTTAGCGTTAAATGTGTTTTGTCGTCATTTGAAGTCGCTGACAGTATATAGGTTTACACTCGACTGACTTTGGTGCAAACACTGTGAGCTCATCCACTCTGGGCTCAAGATTCGTTGACGACGCAGCTGGGCTCAAGCGTACAAAGTGTCATATCTCGATTTTCTTGCTGGTGCGAGCCTTGTTTTGCCTGTTTGGAAATTCGCCATGATTGCCGTTCTGGCTTCCCGAGCGCGTTTCCTTTGATATGCCTTGGCGCGCCTGATAATTTGGTAGGCGAAAGTAGACTAAACTTTACATCTTTCTGGAATCATGTCTAACTATTGGCACAGGTAGAACTCAACAAATGCATTATTAAGACAACAATCTTTGTTATATGTAAAAATCCCCCACCTCTGGCCACGACTCATCGATTACGGGGTGTAAGGTGGGGGAATCACACAGAGACACGCACAATTAGAATCACAAACACTTCCTCCACGACATTCACCTGTGGTTCCTTATAAACATACTTTGTGCGCTTCAACCTCCCGCAGCGAATCAGTTTGTGCTTCCACCTCGTCAAGGACTCTGCGCCTCTTGTGCGGCTATTTCACAGTGAATGAGAGGAGCCGCTTAAATTGGCGAGAGTCAAGTTGGCTCTGTTCACACCCACAACGGCGCAAACTGTGCCAAATCTCAGCTGCATCAAGACCAAAACTTGGGCTCGGCCACCCCCGCGCAGATTTATGCCACTCCTCATGCTAGACCCGGAGACCTCTGTGATCATGTTATGCACAGAGGCTGTTCTGTGAGGACTCGAAGATCTTCATGGCACTGACCGAGATGCCATTTCTAATTAGAAGCCAGTGTAATGTTCAAACATTTTAAGGTCAAATAAAATAATGAAATCATATCTTTTGTAATAGCTTGCAAATGTCTCTCACAGACTTTACACACAGGCGCACAAGAGATTTAAAATCTCAGACGAGAGATTGCGGGAGCACGTCCAGGCACTGGGCCTGCTCCAGCAACCGGTTGTGGAGGTGCTGCGCGAGCCAGGGGAAGACCCCTACGACTTCAAGGAAGGCGACATCGAGTACACGTTCTCCACTTCCAAGAGATTAAAGAGTCAAGGGCGGGAATCCGGCAAGAGAGCCAAGGTAGGGAAACACGGGGGGCGCTTCTATTAAAAGCGGTTTCACTGCCATTAGCCTGCGCAGCCTTTCAAAGTCATCCTTTAATATCCATTAAAAGCTGACTCGCTTGACTCATTTTTCCAAATCGCCCATCAGAGTGAAGAAATCACCAGCAATGGCCACCTGCCAGATGGGAAAGACGCAATGTCCATTTTCAACTCTGCTCCCAAATCAGGTGGGACTTAGACTTCAACATCATAAACCAACTTTTTTTTTTCTGTGTCCTTTATTTTTGAAGTCATTTGGTCTTGTGTTTTCCTTCAGATGAGTCCAGTCAAGACGACGCCGCCGCCAAAGCCAATCCTTCTCTGACCCGAGAAAAAGACCTGGTGGTCAACATTTCGGATCTGGACAACATATTTGATGAAGATGAGGAGGAGCTTGGGGTGAGGCATCCAAATTCCTGTTTGGGGAAAGATGAGGAAGTACCAACCAATCACAATTTACAATCCCATCGTGCCTTCTGCTCTAATGAATTAGTGAAGTATATTACTGAGTGTGCAAATAAAAATGCTGTGTACATTTTTGTTATAGATAAACTATATCGGCCCAATCCTCTAATCTGATGTGTACTAATTTGTAGACGGTTTACCCCAACCAGCACTCAACCAAAGTCACAGTATCCGCAGAGGATCGTCCTCTGAGTAAAGAAGGCAGAGCGGCAGTTCCATATCCATCAAGTGAGTTCCCGTCCATACACGGTCGTACATAACGCACCCAAAGCGTAAATGCCCTCGTAAATCCACTTTTTGTCCATCTCAGCAGTAGCAGACCTTCAGCGTATGTTCCCCACGCCGCCCTCCCTGGAGCAGCATCCGGCCTTCTCTCCCATCATGACGTACCGGGACACGCCCAGCCAGGAGCCCCCCGCACCCGCCGGAGCGCCTGACCACCTTCTGCCAGTCACCTCCAACCAGCTGCCTGAATTCAGGATGGAGCTTGAGGAAGGCATTGCTAGCCCCTGGCAAGAAGACTTCAAAGTAAGGACATGGGAACGCGATTCACAGTTTGCTATTCGCAAATTCACGACTTTGTCTTTGTGGAACATATTCTTTATCCTCTACGTAGAGGTACAGATATTAATCTGAGAGGAGCTGGGACGCCTAAATGAAGCATTAATATGAATCCGACTTGAGTTCAAAGCAGGATATGCCCAGCTGCACGATGTGATTGGCTGCGCGATTCAGGCAGGTCTGCCTCGGACTCCAGTGGGATTTTGGAGTTGACTGGTTTATATACCTTACGCATAGCTGGATTCTATTTACTGCGGGCGCCGAGCAATAGCTGAGAAATGCTAATGATAGCTAAATGCATGCAAATCTTCCTACTCTGCTCATCCGTGCAGGAACATCGACAACACTTCCAAAACCGCTCAGTCTTTATGTCCCCTCTGTCCAGACGCAGGTGGTCTGCTCCATGTTCGCGCCACTTTCCTGCCTCCCTAGTCAGAGTTTAGCACCGCTCAAGATTCCTGAGCAGTGCTACTACCGCCCGTCCTGGGCTCTCCTGCCCAAAATGGAGCACATCCCAGCCGCCATGCACGCCCACAACAGCAATTTCGCCAGGGATGGATACACGTGAGTAAAATGCAGCGACAATGTTAGTAGCGCCATGCTTTAGCTGACCAAGCGGTTTTGAAATTGGGGTAAAAACAGCCCCGATTGACTTGATGCATTTACCCGGCATTAGAAGCGCTTGAATAATACTTAACTCTGACCCCGGAAATGCTGTATGAGCATATTTTGTTGTCTTTCAGAAATATCCCAAGTGTCAGTGCTCTAACGGACCAGGACTACAACCAGATGAGCGGCACCACGGCTTCAGTGAGCACCACGGTGGGCATCCTGCCTTCCCCGGCCACGCCTCGTTTCTCCGTGCCCACTCCGCGCACCCCTCGCACGCCACGGGGTATGAACCCCGCCAGCTCCGGCCAAGGTTCCGTGAAGCAGGACGGGACTGAGCTGAGTTCACCGGCTTCGACCCCTTCCACCAGCCTGCCCCTAAGCTCCGTGGAGCCCCTGGCTCGACCTCGACCTTGCCTCCCCGAGAGCCACAGCCTCTACGCCATTCTGCTTCTGTCGGACTCCGTCCTTAACGTCTTCAAGGACCGCAACTTTGACAGCTGCTGCATCTGCGCCTGCAACATGAACGTCAAGGGGGCGGACGTAGGGGTGTACATCCCCGATTCGACCTGTGAGGATCAGTACCGCTGCATGTGTGGCTTCAGCGCCATTGTGAACAGGCAGCTGGCCCACGGCACGGGGCTCTTCCTGGAAGACGAGTTGGACATTTACGGCCGCTCCTCAGAGGTCGGCCGCGCCGCCGAGAGGAGGCTGGCCCTCGGCCGGCGGGAGCCGACGATGGGCGACCCCCGAGCGAAGCGTCCTCAGGATGCGGCGCCCGCCTCGCCGTCGGTTATGGTCCTACTTCAGGAGCAGTGCTCGCAGCCCATTTCCTCCCTTGCCTCGCTGCACCTTCCCCATGCTTACTCCAGCTATTCCCGCAAGGGAGCGCTGCTCCAGAGTTGGATGTCGGAAAAGCAGTGGGCGGACGGGAGCGATGCCTGTGTGGAGTGTTACAACGCCCTGGAGCAGGGTCTGCAGTATGTGGACAACTCCACAGGAGGGAAAGTCGATCCAGCTGTCGTCCGAAGTACCGCTCTGCATCCCTGGCCTCACACCAACGGTAGGACGCAAATTTGGACGCTAAAAACGGACGGGGATGTTTGTGGTCGAACAGCCTTGAAACCAACGTCTGCTCATATGTGTTTTACAAATTCCTGTCTGCTTAATGTGTTTTATGTTTGTTCATTTGTTTCCTCGGTGGCTAGGCCTTGTTAACATGTGTGTATGTGTCCTGTGCGTGCGTGCGTGCGCGCTTGTTTCTGTGTCTCTGCTCATCCCCGCAGTGGTGGACATGAGCATGTTGTCATCCCAGGACATGGTGCGCTTGCTGCTGTCCCTGCAGCCCTTTCTGCAAGATGCCATCCAGAAGAAAAGAACCGGACGGACTTGGGATAACATCCAACACGTTCAGGGTCCGCTCACCTGGCAGCAGTTCCATAAAATGGCGGGAAGAGGCTCGTATGGTAAGAACAACAAATCGTTTTTTGTTTTTTAGCTTGCTATCTGATTAGACTTAAGTCAAGGCTCATGGTGGAATTCTGTCTTCAGGTTCTGAGGAGTCCCCGGAGCCCTTGCCCATTCCCACAGTCCTGCTTGGCTACGACCGAGAACGGGACTTCCTGGCACTGTCCCCTCTTGCCTTGCCCTTCTGGGAGAAGCTCTTGCTGGAGCCTTACGGGGGTCAACGCGATGTCGCGTACGTGGTACTTTGTCCCAATAGTCCTCCCCTGTTGGCTGCCGCCCGAGCCTTCTTCCAGGAGCTCAGCGCTGTTTACGAGGTAGGAGATTGTGTCAAATTTATTTCCAAGTGCCTCAAAGAAGGTGCCCTCACCAAAGTGACGTCATTCTCAGACGTGTCGGCTTGGGAAGCACCGTCCTCTGGCCAAGGTGTCCCGGGATGGCATAATCCGCGTGGGGGAGGAAGTGGAGTCCGAAAGGGTGGAGGAGCTCGATGTGGACCAGTGGTTGACTGGTCCCTGGGCTGGAGAGCACCACACAGACAACCTCAGCAAACTGAAACTTTACGCCTATGCCTGTAAGCTGCAGCTAGGTAAGAACCTCCAGCGTAATCTCCAATCAAAGCATCTTTTACAGAAACCGACTTCTTGTGCATGTACCATATGAACAAATTCTGTCCTCACTCTGCAGGACCCCAGCTGTCAGTCCTGCCTTTGGACAGCACGCTTTTGCTGCCATCCAAAATCCAGCCACCCAACACTTCAGCGCAACCTGCCCCCTCTGGACAACCTCAAGCATGGACGTCGGACGCAGAGCCAGCTCCCGGGGCTGCCGGTTCAGTAAACGCCTCCACTCCATCTGCAACACCCTCTGGCCAGACGGGGGAGACGACGCCCGGAGGGTCCAGCGAGTCCAAAGGACCCTTGAACACACCAGCATCCAACACACCAGCAGAGAACCCCGACGTGTAAGAGCCAAAACAACGCGCTCACATCCTATCACCATATTTGTGGTTGGTTGTTTGTCCGTTTGGATAAAGCAGTTCAGATCATGGATGGACGGATGGATGTTTTTCCCATTTGTTCATCAGCAGGCTCATTTCTGACTGATTATATTTTTTTTCTGCACTCCTCAGTGTTGAAGTAGTCACTTGTTGCCAGGCGCATTTACGAAAGCCTACATTTCTCAGTTTCGCTTTTGAGCATGTAACCTCTGATCCAAAGTTAGCAAATGGGCAAGATGGATGGAATACCATCACTTGTCTTTTATCACCACAGCGCCATCTGGTGGATGTGCTGGGACACTGTTCCAAATACACCCATTACACCTTTGAACTAGTGCACAACTGATAGTCGCCCCTTTTTTTTCCCCCCCAGCACCGCCGAGCAGTACAGAATCGGTATCCCGACTGGCCCCGACTCCACGGACAGCCGCACCAACCCACCGGCCATCGTTGTTTACGTCGTGGACGCGTTCCTGAGTCCGACTGGCACGCGGAGTGAAGGAGGGGAGGAAGAGGAAGGTGACGAAGTCGAGGCAGAGAGCGTGTGGCTGCTGGGGCTTCTTCGCTGCTACACGGAAATGCTGCATACCTTGCCCGAGACCATTAGACCTGCACTTGTTCTACAGGTAAACAGGGGTGGCAAAACAACTTGCACGCTGTACCTTAGTCGAAGAATGGATATACTGAGGACGTTGCGACTTTCGGCTCGTCCCAGCAAGGCTCCACAGCGAGTTATATCATCGGTGCTTAATTTAGAAGAATAGTTTTGCTAGCAAAAACGGCTAAATTATCTAGTAGTAGGCGTAGTCTTTATCTGATTAGCTTTCATTTCAATCTTGTTAAAAAAAAATTAATCGAGAAATTCTTGTTGTCAGAAATTAAAACTAAGGTATGACGCTCGCCAAAAACGAGAAAGGCGACTGCTCGGCTTATTTTGCCTCCACCTTTTTCCACTTCATTTTCATCACCTAACAAGTAGTCAAACTAATAAGACAATTTTCACAAAGCGTGTAGTAGAAGGTCCTGATAATCTGTTTTCAAATGTTAAGGAGAAGTAGCCAAAAGTTGTCAGAGCTGAGAGCATGGCCCTCTTCCTGCAGGTGGTGCCATGCCAGTACCTCCTCCAGCCCGCGAGTGGCGAAAGCCATTTATACCTGCAGCACCTGCGCTCTCTGGCCTTCTCCTGTTACTCCCAGTGCAGACGCCTGCGGCCCCAGCACACGCACATCAAGTCCCTGACCGGTTTTGGCCCCGTGTCCACCGTCACCTCGGTCCTCAAGAGCCCAGAGGTAAATGATGAAATTAATCGTCGTCATGGATAAAAACCCACGATGACCGATACATGTTTGTCCTCCCCCAGCATCCCAGCCCAGTGCATCTCTATTCACCCCCCTTCATCCTCGGGCCCACTCGGCCCAAGCAGCCAGAACAAGGAGAGATTTGGGCCGAAATCCCTGCCAGGTACAACGTGCTCTTTGTTGGATACTGCTTGTCACATGACCAGCGCTGGATCCTGGTGTCATGCACGGACCAGCATGGAGAGTTGCTGGAGACGTGCATCATCAATGTCGACGTGCCGAACAGGTTAGTGTCAAATTTACTGCTTTAATCTCTTCATATTCAAAATTTCACGTCCCCCCCTTGAATTCAGGGCTCGGCGCCCGAAGGTGTCCGCTCGGAAGATGGGTCTGCAGAAGCTGTGGGAGTGGTGCGTCGGCATCATCCAGATGACCTCACTGCCATGGAGGATTGTGATTGGTCGGTTAGGGAGACTAGGCCACGGCGAACTTAAAGGTGGGTGACGTGGCTTCACTAAATGAACAAGCGGTGAGCAAGGTGCAGAATTATTTTACTGGCCTTTGATTATATTTTCTAAAGAATTCTGCCCCCCCTCAAAAAAAAAAAAGATAAATACAATTTTCGGGAATATGGTTTTAATAAGATCAGTAGCTCTTTATAATATGGTACTTTATAAAAGCTGCAGCGATTGTGAAAGCACTATATAAATAAAGCTGTATTGTATTTTATTGTATTCTTTTAGAGTAGCTCCATCTAGTGGATGCATAATGCAACCTCAGCCACTATTCTAGCTTCTATTCTCTGCACCTTATAATGCGGTGCACCCCGATATTTGAAAACAGTTTTAAAATAGGCCATTCCTTATACTCCAAAGCGCCTTGTAATGCGGAAAACACAATACTGACTCGGTCGGTCAGCTGAGTTGAAGTCAGTCATGAAGATGATGTCTTTACTTAAGTGCAGGAGGAGTCATTTGGTCACGCCACTTTGTCCTTTTCTCTCCGCCAGACTGGAGCTCGCTCCTCGGGGAGCACTCGCTGCATTCGATAGGGCGCCAGCTCAGGGAGGCGTGTCGCATGTGTGGCATCTCAGTGGCGGACACCCCCTCCATCCTCAGCGCCTGCCTGGTCGCCATGGAGCCGCAGGGCTCCCTCGTGGTCATGCCCGGTAGGTAGAGACCAGCACAGCGTAGACCTCTTGAAGTAACCACGTGAAGGTGATCATCTAGTTTAAAGTGGGGGGTTAAAGTGAGCCTCCCTTCAGAGAACACAAAACGGCTTGGACACCTTTTCCTTCCACTTTGCCTTTAACCCTCCTATTAGGTGGGTTTGGAAGGAACAACAATAATGATCCCGGGTCAATTGTTTTGAAAGTGGGTCATTTAGACCCACAACATAACAGGAGGCTTAACATTTCAGATAAATATATAAACAATTAACAAATCTTTGAAAAAGAAATATGCAAATAGATACCAAAATCTTAAAACGAGTGTGAGTGAGTTTCAGGTTTATTTGTTTTTTTTTTTTTTTTTTTTTTTTTTTAACCCAATTTGGTATAATGCAAATGTTTCTATGTGACCCTGAAAAAGTTGTACCTTAAAAAAAGTGATTAACTCATTCAGTACCAGCCAGTTCTGGACCAAGTCTGAAAAGACGTTTACAAACGTCTTTGGGAGTGAATGAGTTAAAGACAATGACTTTTAAAAAAACTAATGCAAATATATGTAACTTTAAAGTTAAATACAACTGAAGTGTACTTTACCGGTGATTCTTTTGCAAACCACTAGAGGGAGCCCTCGTAGCACTAGCGGTCCACATACTGATCTAATACTTTTGTAAAGTGACAGAAAATCACTTTTTTATTTATTTTTTTGGGTGTCGTTTGCTCTCAGACGCGGTGACGATGGGCTCCGTGTTCGGCCGCAGCACTGCCCTGAACCTGCAGACGTCGCAGCTGAACACGCCTCAGGACGCCTCGTGCACACACATCCTCGTCTTCCCGACATCCGCCACCACCCAGCTGGCGCCGAGCTCCTACCCCACTGAGGACAATAACGGTACTCATTAGCTTTTACTGGATACTGTCGTGCCAAGGTCGCGTCTTTGGACAACCATAAAGCTGCACATGCACAGCCAGTGAAATCATGGGCTGGGCTGTTGGTGGAACAGCATAAAGCTTGGTCGACCGTTACGGATAGTGCAGTGAGAAAATATTGAACAAGACATTAAATATCAACAAAAGTGGTAATAAAAGAAAAAAAAAAGCCCCCGAGTCCCAAACCAATGATGTCTAATTATCTTGTTGTGGTCTGAATAAGTATCATGAATTTTCTGGAAAAATGTCAGCTTCCAACGTAACAATAATACAGGAAGCAATGCAAAGAATCATGGTTGCTTTACTCTATTTCACCAACAGGGGGCAGGATTGTTCCATCTCACCAGCAGCACGCCTCGTGCGATTGTTTTAACTTTGTGCATTGTGCACTCCAATCATGTCAGGAAAACACAACATTATTACCCAGCCCAAATTCGACAAACCAATGAGTTGTGTTCCCGTAGACGACATGTTCGACTTGCCCTTTCCTGACGAACTGGAGAACGACATCGGCCACGACATGATGCTGATCACGGGTAACCTCCACCCTTCCCCCAACACCTCCCCCGTGCCGTCGCCGGGCTCTCCATCCGGAATGGGGATGGGATCCCATTTTCAACACACCAGGGTGAGTGAAAAATAATTGCTCCCACCTCTGTCCGTATTCAAGGTTGGTGAGGGCTTTTGAAGATGGAAATTGTGCTGTACTCAAGCCGTGACTCTTCCTCGTCCCACTCTTTTTTTTTTTTTGGGGGGGGTGGGAGCTCTGTTTATTTAAAAAAAAAACAAAAAAAAAACGTCACTAATGAATTGGTGACTGAGAGAATATTTCTTCACCCGGAGAGGTATTTAGCAGCATGCCTGTTGAAGCTCAGATCCACGCGATGACATCTGGACTGACACTCCACATCACACGCATCACATGCGCCAAACAGCATGTGAGAGCGAAGAGCTGCCAAACGTGGAGGAATTTGGCTCCCGGGGCGAAAAGGGGCGAAGACAGACGCGGTGACAGTTTCTTAACGGCTCAATCGCAAAGTAGAGAGAGCAGCCGACTCCCAACACGTTGCAGGTGTCGTCGGCTCACCTGAGGGAAGAGATACGAGTCGACTTCAGAGCGCCGCCGCTGATTGGTCGGGGAAAGCTTGCGCGTGCTGAATCGGGAAAACCCGAACCCAAGTTTGAAACCGTAAACCTGCTTGAAAACCCTAATGCTCATTGGAAACCCTAAATTGACTTGAAAAGCCTAATCCTTGTTTTAACCCCAATTTGAAACCCTAACCCTAGTATGAAACCTTAACCCTAGTTTGAGACATAAACCCTATGAAACCCTAACTTTAATTTAAAACCCTGCTATGCAATCCTAACCCAAGTTTAAAACCCTAATTTGAAACCCCAACCCTACTTTAAAACCCTACCATAAAACCCCTAACCCTAGTTTCAAATCCTAATTTGAAATATTAACTCTTGTTTAAAACCCGACTTACTTTGGACCTTATTTTGAAAACCGAGCTCAGACATTCTGTTGCTTACCGCTGCTGTACTGTAAATTGAAACCCTAACCCTACTTCAAAACCCAAACACTACTTTTTTTTTTTAAAGCACCCAGACGGTTCCACTGGCCTTGCAGTGACGTGTTTGGTGGCCGTTTTTGTTTAAGTTAATCAAAACGGTCCGTTGCCTTTTGAATGGCCGCACGTAAACAACAATTTAGGTTTTTTTTTTTTCCCCCTCCCACTATAAAAATCACACGCAGGCCTGCCAGACGGACTGCCTTCATTTCCTTGAAGTATCAGTGATGCATCTCTCTTGTTTTTGCACGCCTTCGCCATGCACGTGGTCAATAATTGAATTTCCTGTTTTTCCACAGAGCCAGGGCGAGCGCTTGCTCTCCAGAGACAATCCGCCGGAAGAGCTGAAGCAGCAGCCGCTGGCTCTGGGCTACTACGTCTCCACGGCGCAGGCCGGCGGCGGACTCCCGCACTGGTTTTGGGCTCCGTGCCCTCAAGCTGAGAACCAGTGTCCTCTGTTCCTCAAGGTCCTTAAAACATGACTCTTGTATTTGTTTCTCATTAAAAATAATGCGAATAATCAAATAAATAAATCAGCTATAGAGGGGTGGGGAAAAGTAAATAAATATCCGACCACAAGGGGGCGCCCATTAGTAATTACTCTATATTGTATTGCAAAACAGAGGATAAAAGTCATTTATTTTCAGACACATTTCCACATTTTACAGTTTTTCCAGTCCTAATTGTTGTTTTCTAAACCATTTTTGTCAGTTTTGATTCAGCTTTTGTTTGATAGTTAATTTTGTTTCCTACACTGGAACCTGGGTGGTCCGGTGGGCGACTGGTCAGCGCATCGGCCTCATTGTGCACAGGTGTACGGTTTGATTGGCTGGCAACTCGTTCAAAGTGTACCCGGCCTACTGGCGACCCTTGTGAGGATCACAAGGGTCGCGGGTGTGCTGGAGTCTGCCCCAACCGTCTTTGGGCAGTAGGCGGGGGACACCCTGAACTGGTTCCCGGCAAATCGCAGGACACACATAGACGAACAACCATGCACACTCACACCTAGGGACAATTTATAGATTGTTCCAGCCCCGCGTGATCTTACGCGCGTGTGACAGAATCCCAGTCAAAGAGCCGGCGATTCCGAGTAGACCCGAACGGAAGTCTCATGACGCCGTCGATCACCAGACGTGACGCCCTCCGTTGCTTCTCCGCAGGCCTCGCTCCACCACCACATCTCCATGGTCCAGTCAGATGAGCTGGTGGCAGACAAGACAAAGAGGACCCCTCACCCGCTGGACTCCAAAACCACCTCTGATGTGCTCCGGTAAATATGCAACACATGTCGGCTTTCCTGGCTGCGGGTGTCGAATGTGGGATTCTAAAGTGACTCCAGAAGCTGCGTGGCTCCAAAGCCACAATGTGCCATCACTTAAGGCTGATGACACGTGAAAAATAGTTGCGAGTATTCCACATTTTAACTTCTTAAGCACACAAATATTTACTCACATAGCTGTCTTACATGTGGCCTTTGAGCTATTTCTATCATTTTATGAGCACCACATTTTTTTTATATATGAATTCAGACTGCCACGGTTAGAACAATTTTCTAAAAGCTACAAATCATTTTTTTTGGTTTAAAAAAAAAATTAACATCAGTGCACATTCCATATCGTATCAATCATTATTAGTATTTTTTTACATAATCTCTGCGACAAAGAAAAAAAAGACATTTGGAATTTGATATCGAAATTGAAAAACAAGCTAGTTGCAATAAAGCTTTCCATTTCTCTCTCACACACACACACACACACACACACACAATGTAATGTAATTTTCATTTTTTACCACAAACTTCCTGAATGCACGTAAAAAAATATTTTTAATAAGCTTATATTTATATTTTATATTCATTTATATACTTTGTCCCTTTCATAATTTTGCTGCTGTAAATTAAAAACTTAATTCGGCTTTCATGCAAATTTTTTTTTTTTTTTTTTCCCCTCCCCAAAATGCAGATTTGTATTGGAGCAATACAATGCACTCTCCTGGCTGACGTGCACGCCTGCCACCCAGGACCGCCAGTCTTGCCTGCCCGTCCACTTGGCCGTGCTGGTCCAAATGTACAATGCCATCCTCAACATGCTCTAGCCGTACGCACCTCCAATTCCTCAGCTCCGGGCCTTCTCAGCGTCCCCCCCCTCCCTCCCACTTTGCAACTCCTCGTCTCAGAGAGGACTCTCCCGGGGCCTGGAATGTAAATCCGAGTGACAAAATGCTAAGCCAGTGCAGAAAAAAAAAAATACTTGGAAATGGCAGTCACGGTGCTTTCTCATGGAGAGAAGACCCGAGTGGCATTTTGAAACAAACGTCTGCAGACCTGTAATATTGTACAACCAGCAAATTTGCATGTCAACGCACACTCGTGGCATTGTTGCGTCGTTTTAAATTTTGTACAAAAAAAAAAGCGCTGTTGAAAGGTTCTTTGAACTCTTACGGGGGAGCGTTTTGCAAGCGGCACTTTTTCTTCACCTTTCAAAGGGTTGTAGATAAGCGATGGCGGTACAAAAAAAAAAAAAGATGAAGACAGGCCGGGGTGTTCATAATGTAAAACATTTGCAAAGAATTTAAAGTTATTTTGTCATATTTAAAATGAAACAAAAGGGGGGGGGGGAGAAAGGCCTTTTTTTGTTGCCATCTTTTGGGATCTGAAATGAACGTTGTCAATTTAATGCAATATTTATACAAATTATATCATGTCATAGAATTTGATATCTGTACGTATATATCTAACAAATATATATTACCTCTTCCAAACAGGCACTTAACGAAAGTAAAGGGTGATGGACACAGAATGAACATCAGTTAAAAACAAAAAAAAAAAATCTATATATCGTTTGTTTTATTTAATACCTTTCAATTAAAAATATGCAGGAGATATTAAGGCGAATCCTTGAACGAGGCAATCGAAAATGTTCAAATGAAAATATTTAAGAAGGACACTTATGATTTCAAGATGATGTCAAGCAAACCACGAGAAAGGCCCCGCCCCCTTTGCTATTTGTTACAATCGGAGCATGTTTGTATGATACACCATTCGGCTGTGTTTTTCTGGAATTTTTTAAAAGCTGTACATTTCAAGCTGTTTTTGTTTTATTATTATTATTTTTTTGCTGTGAGCTTTTATACATATATATATATATATCTATAAATATATACAGTGAAAAAGTCATTTACTTCCAGCCAAATACGTGGAAATTGCCAAGTGAGTGTTCACGAAATTGTACAGACAAATGCAAGTTTGCAAAAGACTTTGTTACGTCGGTCATCAATTTGAATATGGAACAGATCCACACCAAGTGGGAGATATCTGTTACTTTTACACTATTTTTTAAAGTAAATTATTAAAAGCCTTCCAAGTGAGAACGCGTTCACTTGTGCTCTTTCACTTGCATCGTTTACAGTCAGACATTTCATCTGTTTTTAACCCTTCCGTGCACCCTGTAACCTGATAACATGATAAGCTGTCCACTGTAGTATCCGCTGTCTTTTTAAAAACGGGGGAGACACCATAAATTACGGGTACATGTCAAACTCTGGGCTTCGAGGGCTGCTATCCTTCACGTTTTTTTTTTTTTTTGTTGAGCTGTTTCCCTCCTCCTAACACACCTGATCCGATTGATCGGGATTTTTATCCGGCTCCTCATTTGAATCTAAACATGCAGGATGGTGGCTCACGAGGACCAGTTTGACACTTGTGCATGATGAGGCAACCCCCCCCCCTCCCCCACCAAAAAAACCTATTTTTATACACAATATATAATATTAATCAGAATTCACTCAAAATGTGCGAACTGATATGCTAACCACTTGGTCACCATGCCCCCAAGATTGACACACACCTCTGATGGTGACTGTTGTTGTTAGTTTCTGTCTTTGGGATGAAAGCACTTTTTAGTTTTAGTCCCATTTTAGCCATTTCTACATGTGGCGCTCCATCAAAACTCCCTTGCATGTAACTTGAAGCTATCTAGCAACCCGTTAACACTAGAGGGAAAACTTGAAGCTTTCTGTGAAATATATCAAAAGGTGATTGTTCGGTAACATAAGATTTCGGATAAACTTGGTGTGACGAGCATCTGACAGAACACCCATCACATTTTTCACGTCAACCAAAACTAGCTTGTCATGTTTTAGTCAATAAAGGGCAATGTGTTAGCTTGTTAACTGTCACATTATAGTCATGACAAAAAGGGACATCAACCAAATGTCCGGCAACAAATATTACCAAACTATGTCACACATTTTGAGTTCGAGTTATACTAATAAAGTACGAATAGGGATTGTGCTCTGAGGCAGGGAAACAATTCAGGCTTGTAGAAAGTGAACAATGAGGCCCTACTAAATGTAATTTTCAGCATCCGCATGGCTTTTCATATCAGATTTTCGATTAGTTTTATTCAAACTTGGTTTGTGGCCAACACTGACCTTAACGTTAATGCCCCCCCGCAAAGTGCCAATGGGGAATTTACATTTGAGGAGCCACTCCAAAAAGAACGTCCCTCTTGACGAGCTCCGTTGCATTTGTGACTAACGAAATGAGCGCTGAAGAGGTTGGAGCCACCACCATCAAGGTCATATGAATTGACTTGCAGGGCGAAAACAAAATTTTAAAGGGTCCAGATTGGATAGGAAAAAGGAGACAAAAAGTCACTGTCGGAAGCAGCATGGAAAGTAGAAAATAACAACAACAAAAAAACGCCATGAGTGGTTGAAGAGTAAAAGCCAGTGAAGGGTCACTTGTGGAGCCGCCTGACTAATGGCCGCAGCCACTCGAGGAAGCGGCCTCTTAAGTGACCGCATTGTGTTGGCTGCAGATGGCATATTAGACCACGGCCATTCAACTAGCACGTGACTCGGACGCAGCCAAATGGCCCGTGGGCAGGACTAGGAGAAGGCCAGCGTCGACCGAGGCATTAACGACACTAACTCGGAAAGAGTTGGAGGTCGCTGGTGTTTTATCTCGCTTTTCTTCCACCGCAACATCCCATGACAGGAAAAAAAAAAAAACTGAAAAGGCCTCACATAAGAAGGCTAATGAGGTCAAAAAGGGGGCCGGCATTGAAAATACAGAATGTAGAATTAAGTGTACTTTACCAAAATCTTACCGAAATTATTTCCAACCACTGGAACATTAAGTACAGTTCCTGTGCTTATTTTAAATACAGTTTAGGAAAATTAAAGTGAGGAAAAAAAGACTATAATAGTTTAATATTAGGCACAGTTTAAACATTAACATTGTCCCTAAATATCGGAAAATGACCCAAAAGTTAAAAACAACTGAACCGAACCATTGATGATAGTATCACACTACTGACCGAACAAACACTTCCAAATGATTAAATGCAAAGTTATACATTAAATGCAGCTGGACTATTTTATTTTCATTGGTGTATCACTGGTGTTACTTCTGGTAACTCATAAATACGTAGCCTACTTTAACATGAAGCCCAGATTGAACATTAACACTAAGCTTAACGACAGGAAAGTAAACAACTATACTGAAATAATGATTCAACAAAAATGTATAACACGTAAAAGTAAAACTTAATGACGGCTGAGGTCCAACTAGCTGGCACACAATACCATCAATGGTTTTCTGTCCACTAGTGAACAAGTAGATACTGTTGAATAATGCTTTCACAACTACTTGAATGAATTCCGTAAGCTTCTGTCATACGAGTCGTTTTTCATCGAGGATAAAGAATATATGCCTGCTGTATTGTTCTATCATCTGTCTACATGCGCTGTTTGTGTAGCCATTGGGATAGGATAGGATACGGACCCAACAGCTATCAATGCTATTTGTTAGCCCGGCTATGCGGTTTTGCCTTGTGTGTTAGCGTTAAGCTAGTGGTTGTCTTGCACAACCTGTAAGTCTCTTGTTACTAGTAAGTATATTTTAAACAAGAAAAAAGCTAAAAGTAGATATAGATAATATGTCAGGGTGAGTGTTGCAGCCATACTGTCATTCCAGATGACCCCCCCGACGCTCCCTGTGAAGTGGAGGCAGCTGTCGGCCGTAACGTCACACTGCCTTGAAGTCGCCGGCAACACCATTCTTTGTTCTGAACTTCAAGACCGAGCGAGAGAAACACATCCCCCTTGGATACACTGCTGTCTGTCTGGTGTCTGTCAAGGCAATCGGAGGTGATGCGGGCTTTCGGGGCGGGGGGCCCGTACGACGTGGCGGGGCCTCTCGCTGCCGGGTCAGGGAGGGTTCGTGGCTCCGGGACGCTGTGGGTGGCACAAGGTCATATGCGGCGATGTTACAATGTGCGAGATGTCAGGGGTGAAGGGTCATAGGACTGAAAGCTTTCATGTTGGTTGGTCACAACAAGGGGCGACTGAATCAATTAAGAAGAAAAAGACTCCTTTTCGTAGTTTCGTGCAGTAAACTGTAAAGCTGCGACTGTCGACGATCATCTTTCAATCCGTTGGTCTCGAACTCTGCCGTGATTTCGTCATCACAGCGGATGATTGTCGACATCGTTGACTTTGCCAATTCGTAGTCTCGGCCATCCATTTCGAAAGCGAGAGACAGCCTCAGCCGGCGAGATTTGCTTCCGTTTATCGCATGTTTACTTGCTCCGGACCGCGCCGTGCCTCCACAGGTACAACAATGTACGAGTCGAACAGTAGTGTGGGGGTGATGTGGTTGTTACAATGAAGTTTACGTTATAAAAGCATTCGTTCTAAGCAAAGTCGGCAAATGGAAAATGATTTACGTGAAATCGGGACTTTGAAAGGTTTACGTGATAGCGGTGAAAATGTAAACGGGATACGTTGAAACGAAGTTCGACCGCGCTTGACTTTTGCTATTATACGGGTGAGCGAAAAGCAGCGGCAGTTAATTTGTTTTTGTTTCACCAAGGGCGGTGAGTTACGTAATGACTATCGCTCCATCATACCCACACCTACCGCCGACTAAACGGCACTTGAAATATTTGCGAGCCCGCGCCCGACATGAGCCGGCAAAAAAAAAAAAAAAAAATGAAAGGAAGCACCACGAGGTGAAGGCTGATGAACGCGTGAACGCTTTCAGAGGAGAGTCTTGTAAGGACACGTTGAACGCCGCGCTCCGCAGCGCCATCATCAAAGAACGCGTGAGAGACGAAGAATGATGTTCGGCCCTCCGGCACGCTCGTGTTGAATGGATGCCGAGGTGCACTGGAGGTGAAGAGTGGCGGTGGCCCGATAGCGCCGCGTTGACTTGGAGTCTTTCAAACGTTTGGACATTTTACGGCCGTCAACTGTTTGAACGTTTGAAAGTCGGCTAAGTGATTGATTGCTAGTCTGTTGAATGAATGACTTGATGAGCCCTCCCGCAAAAACAGAAAAAATGAACAATTTTGGTCCCCAACCCGAAGTTTTACTTGACTGGCGTCCCGTCACAGCCAAACAACATCCAAGCTATGTTTTCCGGCGGCATGAAGCAAAAAGCAAGCTCGCGATTCTCAGCGGCTATTGTTCCAAGGCACTGCTGAGGCGACACAACAGCTGCCAACGCAACGTGGCACGCTTGAAAATATCTGATTGAGTCCTGAGGGGGGCAGTGGGGTGGATTTTCATTTGCAAGAGGAGGCCCCGACAATTGACAATTTTGCCAGTGCAAAATTTTGGAAAAAAAAATGTGGCCATTTTTTTTCTCTGTTGTATTGCAAAAACTGTCGCATGTTCTGTCTGTCATTCATATCTTCATTGCTGCCAAATATCGGAATCAACATTGGCCTGAAAATTTTTTTTGGTCATTCCCTAGTCGAGTCTGTATACCGCTTTGTTATTGTTTTTAAGAGTGAACGGATGTGACAGCTGTT